ACAAAGACCGGCAGAGATGATACATATATGATGATGTCACTTAACACCCGTCTCCAAAGGGTTAAATTACAAATGCAAATGTAGACAGTTGATCTTGAAGCCATCGTTAGGCAGATGGACAGCAATGAAGAACAAAATTAATATGTGCATTATAAACCTTAACTCATGATAAGTTGAAACAGTATTTATTACGAATTAAATGCCTTCAGAAGTTATTAAGCGGCTCCAAGTAAAATAGGCCTGTAATTAACAACATGTGTCAAAAATACACGCGTTCTTTTGTTATTGATTTTTATCAGTTCAATCCTTTCTTTTTTCTATGACTCCATCTAATGAGTCTTTCGCAAACACATTCTTCTGACTTGAAAATATTATAAAAACAATGGTTGCAGTTGAGAAAATCTTTGGATACAAATAACAATTTTGTAATGACACATCTAGAAAAAATTTGGTCCTGTCAGGATCGGTTCCGACTCTGTGTATTATACCTTTCTTGCTCCATTGTGATTTCATCATACATTAATTAGTAATATTCAAGAAGCTGATTCTTTAATATCGTAGTTCTACGTTTGCATTGATAATGAAAGCTGTTATCATGGTTTCTTCTTTCGATAATAATAGTTGTCGTACAAAAATAATACCATATGTTTTTATATTCACTTTTGATATAATGATTTATTTATTAGTGACTTCTCTATCGTTTATTTTAATGTGAAATACTTTCTGAAACAAGTTCGAACGACCAGATTGGGTGTGGGTGTGGGTGGGTGTGGGTGGGTGTGGGTGTGGATGTGGGTGTGGGTGTGGGTGAAGGTGTGGGTGTGGCTAGGGTGTGTAAAGAAAACTATCACACCCACACCCACACCCGCCCACACCCACACCCACACCCTTACTTGTTCTTTATTTAATTTATATTAACGTTGAGTTAAACTTAATAATTAAAAATTAAACATATTTATTTATTTTAGTTACCTGAAATAAATTGAAATCTTCAATTGGTTTTATTATAATGTTTAATAAGTCAAAAAGAATCGAAGCACGTTTAATATCGAATATAACAGTAACAATTGCTGGGAATCTTGATGTTGATGAATTGAGTTACCATTTGATCTAGTATATTACTGCTTTTTTCTTCAATGTAGAATGAAAGAATAACACATTTCTTTATTTTAGGAAACAACTGTTGGAATTGGTAGAGCTGATGAGGAGGAAGATGAAAGTGGATATTTTGTTGCACCAGCAAGAGGTCAGCCAATTCCACAAACTTGGATACAAAATTCCAAATTAGCAGTTCATCATATATTTAGTTGGTTCATTTGAATCAGCATTGTGTTTATTACAAGATCAAGTTGGAACTATTTGTTTTGATAAATATAAACAATTATTTGTTCAAATATATTCACGTCCACATGCAGCTTTTACAACACTTCCATGATTACCGGCATTATATACATATCCACTAAGAAATTCGTTTGTATTCATTTGTTTGTTTAGTAAATATTTGTAAATTATTGAGGCTTGATGCACATTTACCAAAATTATTTTATCTAGTAGTTGGATTAAACTTAGAAAAATTAGTTGGACGTCTTCAAATTGCTTATTGTTTAACAAAAAACGAATAATTTCAAGTTCAACAATGAATTGAAATATGTAAAGAATGTATTGTTGGTTTACAAATGTCAATGACAAAAATGAAGATTTAGCGAAAGATGATGAAAAACGTTGATGTGAATTAGCTGCTTATTTTACTCATTTACAATTACAACCAATACATAAAATCATGACATTAGAATTTGCACTTAATCAAGCATTTAAATTAAAAAATTATAAAACTGCAACAAGCTTTGCCAAACGTTTATTGAAATTGGAATCAGCCCCTGATGTTGCTCATTAGGTTTTGTGTTTTAGTATTAATATTTCATTTTCAAACCAAAGATTCTTATTCTTTCTCGACTTCAACTTTGAGAAGTTTTAAAATGAACCAAAAAAAAGAAAGAAAACATATCTTTAATCCACTCAAAATATGTCAAATCTGTTGATCGAAATTTTTCATGTTTTTTTGATTTGTTCGAAAACAATGCTGTTTATTCTTTGTTAAATGAAATATAATTTTGATTGAATTATTTTAGAAGACGAACAAAAAAAATAAAAATTTTTTTTTATTATTTTGTTTAGACACGAAGAGTATTAAATGTTTGTGAAAAAAATCCAATTAATAAACATCCATTAAATTATGATGAATATAATCCATTTAATATTTGTGCTGCATCCTATGTACCACATCTATCGGTATGAAATTTAAAAATAAAACCGAATTTAATTTAAAGTAATCTTTAATTCTTGTTTAGTGAAAAATCCATTATCCGGTGCGACCCATTTACCGGAATTTATAGGACAATTGTGTCGTGTTACAAAAACAACTGAAATTGGAATTCTAATTCTATTATCATTATTATTAACTTTTAATGCATATATTTATCATTTTGAAAAAGTAACTTATCATTAGAACGTTTTTCTTTTATTTCAAGATAAAGAAATGCGTTTCTAAAAAGAAAATTTAAAATCAATATATTTGTTTGAAATAAGTTCACTTCAGTAGACCTTCAATTCTATGATTATATATAAATAAATAATCTCAATTTATAAAACGACATCAATGCAACTGAGTACTTTATAATTGTTTAAGAAATTTTATCGACATGATTTCATTTGATATTCAACCTTTGCAATATCTCGATTGACTCATTCAATATGGTAACCTACACGCATCTATTCAATATTCATACCGGCAGCTTTTTCTTGCTCAACTTTACTAAACATATTGAAATTCAAAACAATTGATTCAATTTACAATAAATGATTATTCACATCAAGAAAAAAAAGAATTTTGATTCATTATCAGACTTGAAAGTGTTGTAAACAACATTGATATGTATTATATTCACTAATAATGATCTAGTTATGCACACATTACACTATATAATTAAGTCATTAATAAGACTAAAAGATAATTAAATGTCTAAAGATATACATTTTTGTATAGATTTCTTTATATTTAAATAAAAATAAAAATGAATATTCAGTGATTTATTTTTTCCAATTGAAAAAATCTTCTTTGATTTCAATCGACTTTTCTCCTGTTTCTCTACTATAGAACTTTTATAAATATAACAATGAAATGAGAAACAACACCATCGGGAAGATGCGTTATTGAAAAACAAATACAATAATCATAAAATCAAAATGAAAATAACAAAACTGAAACAATAAGTAAAATATATGAAGATAAACATCATACAACAGTAAGACAATATCGTAAAATAATTTGAGAATATGTAAATGCAACAATAGATGAATTAGATCGAATTGATTCATCATCGAATAATAATAATAATCAACCAATTATTGGCAAGAAGAGACGAAAGAATATATTATTCAAGCTTGTTTTTTTTTCATTTTGAAAGAAAAACATCTAATTGTCTCGCTGTTTTCTCCTTAATATATTTTATTGTTTTCGCTTTGTCAAAACTGAGTATCTTTTCCGATTGAAAATAAACTTGTCGACAACAGCATCATTTTTCTCAATAACGGCAGAAAAAAAAAGAAAAAAGATGTCAGTTCAGATCGGACGAGCATTCGATAGCTTATAAACCACTAGACAAACTTTTTTTTCTCTAAACTTCATTTACGATTCACTCACACATCAGAATATCGATTTAATCTTGAGGGTGTAGGTGTGGATGTGTATCTTTTCCTCTGTCACCAGTATACTCACACTCCACACCCACCGAAGTATCAATTGCTATTTTACATGAAAATATCAATGAAAAATAACTTGTAAAGAATTTTCTATTTTGTTTAGACAGCATATCATATGTAAAGAAATGAATTTTCAATATATCCTCCTTAACCATTACATGATCTTAGTTTATTGTTTTTTTTTGTAATTTATTATGAATAAAAATTTATTAACACCGTATCATTGTGCTCAACATTTATCATCAGGTTTAGTTGATCAATCTTGTTTAGCTTTAATTGATGATGAACATATATGGGATATGAATCGTCCATTAGAACATGATTGTAAATTAAAATTTCTTCATTTTATGGAAGAAAATTGTGAAGAACAAAATCGTGCTTATTGGAGAACATGTTCATTTATTATTGGATTATATACTTGAAATAGTTTTTAAATCAAATTATAATGTTGAACTTTGTTCATTTTCACCACCACAATTTCAATATGGATCATTTGCTTATGATGTCAAACTTAATCTTGGTAACATTTCATTTAGATTTAATTTTAAAAAATCTTGATTTTATTTGATACATTTAAGAAGATTGGCAACCAAGTCGTGATGATTTTAGTTGTTTATCAATTCAAGCCTATAAATAACGTGATCGTGATCTTCGTTTTGAATGTTTAGATATAGCACAAAGTGTAGCTGAAGAAATGTTTGCATATGATAGATTTAAACTTGCACAAATTCCTCATATGCTTCGTTTGATGTCGCCATTAGATACTCAAACAAGTTTATCTGTTTATCGAATGGGTGATTGTCATTTTGATATAACACGTAGACCATTAATATCATCAACAAAACAAATAGGAAAATTTGAATTTAGTGCTATTCATCAGATTGATATTCCATCATATGGAGAAACAATGCAATGTGTTCAAGCACTTTCAATTCCTTCTCAACTTCACTGACATTATTGGACATTTGATTATTTATTAGAAAGAGCAAAAAAGATAAACGGAGCATCGGTACCATCGTTAGCAAAGACTAAAACATCAGATAATAAAACAGAATAACTAGAATAGTTTGCTTTGTTTTTTCAATAACATATTGTCAAGTTATTTTTCACTTGTTATACGTTTAGTAAAACATCATTTGGTTTCTTTGTTTCGAACAATTAATAAGACTAATACTTATTCTTATTATTTAGAAAACTATTTACCTGTTGTAATATCGATGCCAACTGATAATTTGATGTTGCATAGTCTTGTTGAAATTTAACAATTGTTTCTTGTTGATTATGTCCAGTATTTTGAGTAATAGCCTTTGAAATAATTAATAATGATTCAGCAAATGCTTGAACACCTAAACGTGCACGATCTTTTACTTGTTTCTTATATTGAGTAAGTACTTGATGAGCAACTATTTCAAAAGCGCCATCACCAGGAATAATACAACCTAAACAAAAAGCTATTAGTGCAATCCTTGCGGGATTAAGATGTGGAACACCACGTCCCGCTCTCTTTAGATCGTGTTTCACATAAACAACTGATAAATCTAGAAATAAAACTAATCATCTTCAGTTGCATTTGCTATTGAGCGAAACCCATCGCAAAGAACATCTTTCAATTGATTTAATAAGTATTTTGTTAAACCTTTGAGTAAAATTGTTACTGATTTGGAATTTTTATAACCTTCAACAAAAGTAAATTTTCCTTCACCCTAACGAACATTTCAAATACAAAAATAAACTCAATAAACAGTAGTTTCCACAACATGTTCATAAACATCCTCAGCAAAGCCAAGACATTCTTTTGTTAAATTTTCAAGCAAACTAATTAAAAGGGTGTGGGGGTATGTGGTGGGTATGGGTGTGTGGGTGGGATTCTTTTGTACAGTAATGAACACTCACACCCACACCCTCACCCACCCTCACCCACACCCGCATCATCAAAAAGTTTTGTTTGGAGAAATCCACTTTTCTCTTCCTTTTCTTTCAGAGTAATTATTGATAAAAACAAGTCTCGAAAGAGTTTTTTTTCTGTTGACTTGTAACACTCATACTTTGATAGCTTAGTGTTTTTGTTTTTGGACGTAAAGCACACAAACACACCAACAGCGTGTTTTTTTCATATTGTTCTGAAGTAAAAAAACGAAGTAAAGACAGGTAAAGAAACTGAGTTGACAAGAATATCAAGAACACAGTTATTCTAATAGTAAAACGAACTAAATTGTTAAAATTTTCAAATTATTCCATATTCTTAGAAAAAAACCATTATAAAAGGATTATTGGCTTTAAAGACAGTTTTCTCTTCCAAATGTTATCAAGAAATCGCCATATGAGGGTAACAAGATCAATATAGGCCGCTCGTCAAGCATAATTATTTTCTTTGAAATTGTAGGGCTTCTTGACAGTTTTCCCCACTTCTTCTTCATAGCTTTTTGAAAAAAATGTCAAACTTAGGTAGATATAACAAGTTTGCTACGCCGATCTACTTTCAAAGTTCTATGAGCATATGCCTCAATGAAGATCATCATCAGAAAAACTTAAATGCTTTTTAATTGAGAAATACGGGTAGGATGACAGTATAGAACGTGTAAGTGTCCTTCGTTCAAGTTGTACCTAGTGAACTATACAATTTCAGAGTTAAGTGAGACTGCGTCAGTTGGAAATAATTTTTCAGGCTGTATCCAATTTAACCATTAAAAAGATCAATAAAATCTAGCAATCATATCGAACATTATGTCATACCAGCAAAACTATGCTAAGTTCCTCGTCAGTCATCGTCTTTTTTGCGTTATCAATCGATATAACTGAACTCTTTTTCTGAGCATTTGTGTTGAAACTTTGCGTAGAAAGCTTAATTAGATATTCGATCAAAATTATTTTTATCAATAGAGTATATTGTCAATAAAAGAATGATGGCGATAACTTTTTCTTTTGAAGTCATCACTACTTTTATTGCACGTTTTGACAAATGCCATATGATCCCAGGAAAACTTGAATATTCCACACCTAAACTTAGATTTTGTCAATGAAAAGTTGTCATGGTTCTTGCACTACAAAAGAAATTGTTGTCAAAATGAAAATATTTTTTTCTAAGTTATCTCAGTGTCAATGAAACTGGATTTTTCACATTAGTTGTGGCTGGAAATTTTCGGCCGCCATCGTAGCAAACTCTATGGATGGTTCGAGATGTGAATGCTCAAAAAAAAACATAGTTTACTAACATTGATTGAAAACGTGAAAAAGTCGATGACTAATCATGAAAACAGGATATTTTGGCTGGTATATCATAATTTTCAATATAATGTCGACTTTTATTGATCTGTTCAATACCAAAATTAGATACAACATGAAATTTTATCCCTAAGTGGCACAGTCTCATTTGACTTCAAACTAAAAAGTCCACTAGGTAATCTTAGACGAGAGACACTTTTAATTACTAATCTGTTATCGTACCCGTTGTCGAGGAACTTTGAACGGCGTTTTTGCAGTTAGAATATGCAAGAAACAAGTAAAAAATCTGATATAGGTTCTAAAATCTCTAAATAGGTAAAAGATGCTTCACATTGTAGCATTACATTTTTGAGGCTTGTATAAATGATATTTCATGATCAGTGTGACGAACTCGATATTCCAAACAAATTTTGATAAATTTGTTTTTCGAAAATTTATGCCAACAATAAAACAAAAAAGATTCTATAGTTTTTATATTTAATAGAAACTATCAAATATGGCAAGTAGCAATCAAGCATCCACGATAAAAACAAATAGAAATAGTGATCCATCGACTGATATTAATGTTTTATTAATGGGACAAACAGGTGTTGGAAAATCAACATTTATCAATGCTTTAGCTAATTATTTATGTAATGATACATTAGAAGAAGTTACTAATGATCAAATGCAAATTCTTATTCCATCAGCATTTTCTTTTACTCATGAAGAGATGTTTGATGAAAAAAGGATACAAGTTGGAGAAGAAAATGAATATGAAAAGTTAAATGATGATGGTCAAACATGTACACGATATTGTCGAAGTTTTGTTTTTCCTGTTGGTAAAAAGAATTTACGAATAATTGATACACCTGGAATAGGAGATACGCGAGGTCTTGAACAAGATACTAAAAATTTTCATGAAATATTAACTTTTATTTCACAATATGAGCATTTAAATGCGATCTGTATTTTACTTAGACCAAATGAAGAACGTTTAACAATACTTTTTAGATTTTGTGTTAATGAACTTCTTCGACATTTACACGTAAGTGTAAGAGAAAATATTATTTTTGTTTTTACAAATGCTCGTTCTACATTTTTTAAACCTGGTTCGACATCGAAAATTCTACGAGCACTTTTAAATGAACTTAAGTTAACACAAAATATAGAAGTATGCTTTACAAGAGAGAATAGTTTTTTATTAGATAATGAATCATTTCGATATATGGCCTTACGTAAAGATGGAATTGAATTAAGTAAGGGCTTGTTTACAAATCACATCATTAGATCGTAATTTATCAAAAGCCTAACTTTGTTTTAAAGAAAGTTTTCTTAATTTTTTTCTTATCATAATTCTATGGTTCTTGAAAATCTCGCGCTGTTAATACATAATTATAGCTATGCGTTATTCTTATTTGGTTTTCTTTTTGTGTACTCAAAAAGTGAGTACACTACTAAAATCGGTCAGTGTGTCCGGCCGTCCGTCCGTCCGTCCGTCCGTTTATTCGATAACTTTTGAAAGGAGAGTCAGATCGCGATGAGATTTTCTACACAGTTCAGTCTTAACAATATCTCGGTCGAGTTCGAAGATGAGAAGGATTGGCCGAGCCATTCCTGGGTTATTGCAAAAATACTCGTTTTTCCCTATACATTCCCTATGGAAAGATTGAGCCATCCCCGCTTTCGTAAACAACTTTTCCTATTCTGGTCAACTAAAATCCCAACTATTATATACCATT